CTCAGCTGCGGAGATCGAAAGCCTCCACTCGCTAACCTGCGAGCAGCTCTAGCAGAACAATAAGACTTAAAGCCGAAAACCCAAACCCTGAGCACGACAGGTGGCTGGGAAATCCAGGCTGCATGATGTCTCGTGGAGGTTGCCTCGCTTCATGATTGCCCTATGAATCTTGATTACTTTAGGCTTCCGACCTCTGAACAGCTAAAACACAAGCAAGAATTCAGCCCACTGCGAGATCGGTTCAAACAACCGTAAACAAAATGTTGGTTAAACTCCTGCGACGATCCATCATGCATTTGGCTCCGTTTACCAGCATGCTATCATGTTCCATGCTTGCTCGGCCACCACACTCTGTCGTGTCTGCCAGAGAGGTGGCTCCATCTGTTCGTTCTCATGAGCATTCCTCTGAAATTTAGCAGGACAAGTTGCAGTGGCAGCCGGACTCGGGGCCAGTGCCGGGCACGAAGCAGCCCCAAGAAGAGCCGTGGCAGCAGGACCAGCACCTTAGCACACGCGCTTCGAGGAGATTGGTCTTTGGGGGCACCTTCTTGTTTTCCGACACCAAACGTGCATTCGCAAAGCTACAACGGCATGCTTAGAGACCCAGGCACTCATGGGTCCAGGTCTTGCCAGCAGCTGCTTCACAGGTTTGCTCGGAGACGGTGCACTGACAAGCATGACTGGCCTCATCAAAGCAACCCCAAGAGTATTGCCTCTGGCACTGGGGATGCTGCTCGTTGGTCGTGGAATCACAGGAGCGGCACGTGTCCGTCCAGGTGCCTCCCCGAGCATGGCAGGTAGATTCGGAGACTGCGCAGTCGCATTGGTGAGTCTCCACGTTGTAGCATCCTGTGCCGGTGCCAGTGTTGGCATCTGCCAGGAAGAACCCAGAGAGGAGCACTAGCAGGGCAATGACGAAAACCCCGGGACGACCCGCAGCAGAAGTCACCTCTCCATTGCAGCTGCGGCAAGACTGCGTCCAGGACCCGGAACACTCCGC